TATTTTAGATTTTTTGTTTTGATTTGATTTTTAGTGAAAATAGTGTATTTTTTTATTTTTTAAATATCATACAAAAACTTAAAACAGATCCTCCTTAATTGGATGAACGCACATGACATTTACGGTTAAATTTTAAGATACGAGGTTGAAAAATAATCATAAACCCTTCGCGAATTTTGCAGTATTTTCCCAGGGGAGCATTGATAAAATTTTATGTTGTATATGCAAGTGAAGCAATTAATTAAAATTCCAAAGATAATATACATTCGCCAGTTTGGTTCATACGATAAGAAATGTTATTCCCATGGGAATATTTAAAGAAGTCATTTGGGTTTTTGTTTAAAAATCTCCTGAGATATCCTAGTCTTCAAGTTATACCCGAAGGAGTTGAAATATTATGTTGATAGTAACTTCGCTTTTTAACATATTAGACGTAAATAATCGCACCGTAAGGGTTTGGAATTGGAGTTCAGGAACTATTAAGCTATAAATTTATTCTAATAACCACTGAAAAAATGAAATACTTATTTTAAAGCCTTTATTCTATGTTTTACACTGGATTTCACTAAGTGTAGGGTTGTAAATTGATTGTGAAAGAGTTTATTGTGATGCAAATTTAAATTAGATATTTCGGTGGATGTTAAAAATTAAAGAACTAATCGAAACAAGATCGCCCCCAACTTATTTATTCAAAAATCATTTGAGCCGGTCTAAAATTATAATGGTAATATGAGATAAGATTGGATTATAACAGCAAAACAGCCCCACGCAAAAGTGACACAGAAGCTAGTCATCAATGAACATAAAATAACCCTCGAAGCTAGTATAATTACCAGACTTTTCTATTTGAAACCCTCGTAATCCGGCCATTTCGTACCCTTGCATCAAGCGCCCTGCGATAGCACCACACACACACATACGTCCGTATCTATGTTTAGGCGGAGGAGGCTTTGCTGGCTTCCCTGCCGAAGGATTAAGGTGCTTTAGGTTAGACCAGTTGATAGATTTTTGTTTAATTGAATATGTAACGCGCACAACCCTTGTTTCCCTTGTTTAGAGCTTAAGTAAGATTACTGGACACTGAGCAACATGTGTTTACTTTGAGAAAACCAATACCGCACAAATTAGCCACCCACAAATCTATTTTAAACACTTTTTAGATGAAAAGACAAAATAATCACCAATAAAAAGTGTTTTAATTTTCAACAGGTTTGAAAAAAAATAGTAGATTATGTCATAAGGAGTAGAAGTGACTCTTTTGTGGTGAGTACATATCTGCAGATATTGACGGCCGAAGCGTAGCTGAGGCAGGCAACTGTACGAAGCAAAGAGCTTCTACTCCAAATAACATATACTATTTTTTTTTCAAGGGAGTAATATAAATAGGATAAGCAATACAATTATTTTATTTACTTAAATTTACATTAAATGTTCAATTACACACACTGCAGCTCTTCAATTGAATCACTCATGTGGGATAAAATTTTAGCTAAAAGCATTAGAAAGTATTGATAAAAACTAAAAAAAAACTTATAACCCTTACTTACAATGCTGATAAATATCCTAAACTAAAAATAAACACTGCTCTGTCAAAATGCTGCGCTTGAATTAATTCCTAGGCCTAGGAATTAATTTTGACGTACTGACATTTGTTTGGAGTTCCGACATTGGCGACTCGTCTATCATCATAATATTATACTAATAAACTAGTTGTTCTTTATTTCGTTCAATTAAAATTTAATAAATAATCACTAAATATTTCGTGCGATTATAATTAATATAATTAATACATCGTGATTGCTTTGTATGAAATGCAAAATTAATTTTATTATTTGACGTCTATTGAGTCACCTATGGATTTACTTCTATCCCTAGTATTTTTTGAGTTTTTTGTCTGCCGCTAATGAAAAAGACGCACTTCAACTATCTCTAAACATGCATATAATTATATAAGTATATTATTTTGTTTTTTTTAAGCGGCCATGATATACAACCTTAAGGTTGTATATCATGTCCGCTTAAAAAAAAACAAAATAATATACTTTTAAACAAATTTCATAGCAATTTTTTTCCTGTAAAAGATTGATAAACTTTTATGAAACGGTTTTTTTACAATATTTTGATTACACTTGTCTTTTGTAAAAAATTTAAGGTTACAAAAAAAATCGACAAGCAGTTTTCGAGTATTAACCATTTAATTTTAAATAAGAAGAGTTGTTACGGAAAAAATAAACAAGGCATCTAGCAGCAATTTTAAGTAAACATAGTTGACAGATTTTTCAACAGTTTATGACAGAAAACACAAACTTTAAATCATCATAACTTTGTTATTATTATAAAAATGATAACTTTATATTTCCAACCTTTAAAACGCCCTTTATCGTACATTTTTTCATAACACTAAGTAATCTTTTAAAAACACATTGACAAGTAGTGCTTTTATGGCGTTTTAGTCACGGGCTGAAGTTAGTTTTAAGTTAGTCATGCAATCGTTAAATTTTCCTTCTTGTGAAATTAAACCAAGGAAATTATTTTATTATCTCCAATAAAAAAGTATTAAATAGTTTCTCAACTCCTATTTAAAAGTTTTTATGCAAGATTTTGCCGACAGTAAACAAGATTTAACTAATAAAGAATTCAAAAAATTTTATGGACTTTCCATCGTGAAGTGCCCATAAAACATTCTCTTCACTTTCACTTTGGAAAACGGCTTTTATATCAGATTTAAACGGTTGTTAGTCTATTTTAAAGGGATAAATTTCGATTTCGTGCCTAATTAAAATTCGTGACTAAAATGGCCTTTATCAAACTTGATATATAATATACTATTAACCTTTTTATACATTCTTAAAAAATAAATAATAAAATAAAATTCAATTTTTAAACTCGACAACTACATATGCCAGAAAAACAACGTTGTATACTTGGGTGCGCAATTTTCGGACACCCTGTATAATTATGTAGATGATATTTATATAATTTGCAAATACTTATTTATTTTTGTTTTTTATTGATTTAAAATAAAAAAACATTATTTTCCCTTTCTAAACAAGTAGGTATTTATTTATATAGTATAATAGTATATTATGTATCAAGTTTTATAAACGCCATTTTAGTTACGAGTTTTATTAAGCACGAGCGAAGCGTGCAAGCGAGTGTTTAATAAAAACGAGTGTCTAGATAAGTTTATAAAACGAGTTGCATACTATACTTTATCTACGACGACCACAAAGAAGAATTTATATCCAATTTTATTTGTTGACTAAAATGCCCAAAAGCCACTATTGCTAACTTCAGACCGTGACTAGAACGCCATAAAGTCACAGCTCGTCAATGTAGGAGTAGATAAACTAATTTTTTTCCAATATACATAATTATTTTTAATAAAAAAAAATACAGAACGCTATTTGTTTGACACACGAGCGAAGCAAGCGTGGCAAGAATCCAATTCAAAATCGACCCTTCTTCACGAGTTTTTCATATTATTACAATCAATTAAATAAAAACACCTTATAAACGAATCATAGTGTGAACTATAGTATATTGTGCCACTAGTGGAAGAAAGAGGAGATTTCTCGAGCGTGGAGTTTGCCGCAAAAGCGTAGCGAGTGAAATCTTCTCTTTTAACCAATATTTGCATTTAATATTTTATTCAACTAACACAACAAATTTAAAGCCAGTTTTATTTAATATTTTATCTGGAATCTGACAGCTGTCAAGCAACTTTAACATTATTTTTTTCCAATTTAAGCTTAAAACTAACTTCAGCCCGAGAGCGAATTAAAATTTCTTCCACAGGTTAAAGTTAAGAAATTGGTGTAGATAATATGTCATTAAAATTTAATTGTTAATTAAATTTAATATGAAAAAAATTTTTAAATCATGACATTGTATGTAAAAATAGCCGTAATTAATTATTTACAATTGTCTTTTTTATTATTCTACTAGTGTAACAATGTCTTTTAATATCTTAATTTCTCGTAGAACTTATATTAGATTTTATATCACAGGCGACTTTGATGGTTTTGGAATGACCCAAGCTGATTGGTCCAAATTATTCGTACATTGAAACCGGTGATAAAATGAATATTCTGTTACACCTTATATATTTAAATATTTATAGTGTAGGTAATTCCACATTAAAAAGTAATATAAGAACGGTCATATTCCGTTATAGGAGTAGGAAAAACTATTTTTTGCAATAAAACTGCCACTACCATATGTTTAGAAAAATTTATAATTTATTTTTATAAAATTAATTTTAAACTAAAATTAAAACTAATTTTATGAATATAATCGCGTTAAAAACAACTTTTAGGGCGATAAAACAAATTAATATAAAAACAATTTAAAAAGGCAGCTGAGGTTGATAGCTTGTGTAAAAAAATTGTCGTAAGTAATATCATAAGGGCATTTAATTTTTCCGAAAAGAATCGAAAAAACACGTTGCTAAGTGATATTTTAACAAAAAGCATGAGTGCTGGTGGCAACAAAAATCCGAGTCGAAGAGGAGGATTTTTGCACCTGCACGAATGCTTTTTGTTAAAAAATATTACTTAGCATTGTGTTTTTTCGATTTTTTTCACAGGAAAAATTAGATGCCCGAATGGTATTTGACAAGACTATTTCATGAGTAACAGTTAACAATTAAAATATAAATTGCAATTTTTGGTGACAACAGCTGTCAAGTTTTGCCGCGGGTAAACTCGAAAAAACTGCTGACAGGTGCTGTCACACAGTTTTTTCACCTAGAAACCATTTGTAATTCAAAATTGCGCGTTTGTGATTGGTGGAAATTAAGACGAGGGAAATAGTAATTAAAAAAGTTTCAATCTTGGATGACTTTTAAAACTTAACCTTGTATACCAAATGACGTCTTTAAATAACATAATTTACCTGTATATAGAGATGTTTATTTTTTTAATATTAAAATAATATTCTGCATAATCTTTAGCTATGACCCTGCATAAATATTATTAAATATTTTTTTCTTATTTCAGGCTATAATCTACGAAGGCCAAGACAAAAATCCAGAAATGTGCCGAGTACTTCTGACGCACGAAATAATGTGCAGGTGAGTTTAAAACATATAAAAAACATACTTATAAATTGGGTTATGCAAAATATACGCTATATAGTATTAAAGTAAAATGAAAATGCACAATGGTGAGTGCCAGATTGGCGAATAAGAACAACAACAAGGCAAGGGAATAGGGAAAAGACAGACTCCCTGGAGATTATCCCCTCTTTTCGTATCCCCCAATATATAAGTCTATGGGGAGGCAGATATTTAAGAAATTTTTTGTCTGCTGCTTCAACCTCTTTTGACAACAACAAAGTTATTCTAAAAATACGTTACTCGCCGAATTTGTACACCCATTGTTTCATTTAAATTAAAGCTCACAGGATTTTATCATGGTATCACATTTAAATGTATGACGTCACCCAACTAACAATTACACATTGTTAAAGAACTAATATATTTTATAATTATTTCATTGCTAAATTTTTAGTTGGGCATCTACACTGTTTAAAATGTGGTGTAAAATGTAATCTTTAAATGGTGTCTAATCCAACACCAAGTGGTGTTAATTTAAATACCATAAATTATGGTTGAAAATGTTATATACAGCAAACACCAAAACGGTGTTTATCTAAAAATATTTGAGAAGTGCACCTACACAGAAAAAAAGGAATAGTTAATTTAACTATATTAATTTAGTTGACCCATAAGTATTTATTTAAATCAACTGTGGGAAGGTTAATATAAACAAAGATTAGTTTGGCGGTACTAAACCAGATAGTTATTTTTTTTAAATTGGTTAAATTAACCCAGAAAACTTTAGTGAAACCAACCTGTATGGTTCAGTTTACTAAATATGTTGTTTGTAAAATAAGAGTTACTTCAACCTAAAGCACTCTGTTAAAACGATTAAACCAATTTGCCGTGCATTGCCGTTGCATAGTATGTACCGATCGCGGCAAAGGCGGTATGGATCACGTGATGTTCTTAAATCTCGCCTCTGTTGACTTACATGAAGAGTATATAAGCTCAGGTAGTCCTTTGCTTTGGTGTGACACTACAAGTTGTTCGATCCTAAAGAGACATTAAATAGGTGGGAACAGCTGTCAATACTTGAAGACTTCAAGTTGAAGTATTTTAAGTTGGTGGAACGCACTAAAACATTATCTCTAGCGAGTTGAAGGTTCAATTTTCTGGAATAATACTACTGGTAATATACTAGTAATGCGTCAAGGAACTTCCTGTTTCCTTTTTTTCTGTGTAGTATGATTTAATTTGACCAAAAACACATAATATTTAACACTGAAAAGGAGTTCAATTTACACCAGGTAAAATTTATTTTAATACTATGTGAAAGTTAAATGTTGTTCTTTTATAATTTTTAATTCTTGTAATGTTTTATATTTTGTTCAAATTATTTAAATAATTAAATTATATTTATAACTTACTTTGACTAAAACAATGTAAAAAAATGATCATGCACTAATAGCTTTATCATAAAATGTTTCCTGAGATGTGGAGCACCCTGTATACGTTTATTTTCAAATTAATTCATAGTAAATTTGTCACACATAAAAGTGTTGTAAGGGTGTATTTTTTGTTAGAACCAATTTCTTTTATCTATTCTAAAATCTTATTTCTTTGTTTTAGCCGATGTTGCGACAAAAAAAGCTGCGGCAACAGAAATGAAACACCCTCCGACCCAGTAATTATAGACAGGTGAGTCTTAGATTTTTTGTTTTCGTCCCACCACGCAAGTATTTTTTCTTACGTATTCAAACACTGTTATCGTGGAAAAAGCATCGCATCAAAAGTCCTTTGCAATTGACTTTTTCCGACTTGTGTAGTGCTGATAGTAAGAGGATATCTACAAAATGGAGTCCCGGGGGATGCACGAAAGACAAGGGGAAGACATCTTATGGGTCGAGAGATATTGCGGTGTTGTAAATAGAGGCTACTGTCTGCTCTCTCTGCCGCTGCCTTGAGATCATATATACTCCTATTTATAGAATTGCATTCGGACATGCAATCGTACATTAAAAACAGCAAAATGTCCTCTTTAAATATTTTATCAGTCATTGGCTAGACTTTTTCAGTTTTAAGACAACTATAAATATAACAACGTAGGTACTCTCTAAAAATGAAATAGTCAAAATTCTACTATTTGAATTAGTACCAGCATTTTTTACTAATAAAATAGTGGTTTTCACTTTTAAATAGTTATTTTTTCCTAAGTAAATAGTTTTACTAATTTAAGATTAGTCACCATCTTCGACTATTTTTGAGAGTTAAAATTAACTAATTTCTTTAATCTTTTGCGGCCAACAACAAAGTATTATTTGAATTAAATGCATATACCTAAGCTCCATAAAAACAAATGAAGATGCAAAAAGTTTAGCTCAAAACAGCAACACAAATAATATATTCAACTTTAAAATATTATGAACAATATTTTTGACAAATAAAATTGATTTTTATAAGAGCGGCTGATGGGCTATCACAACAGCTTGACAAGTGACAGACCTAAGTTCAATCCCCGACTGGGTCAAAACTTTTTTTAAATTTAAATCTACTAATTTGACCATTTTATTCAGAAGAATTTGACTTATTATTAGTGACTGCTTTTTCGATATGACAATTAGTCAAATATGACTTATAACCGGCCTCGGTGGTGTAGTGGTCAGAGCTCCTGGGTACGAGCCGAGAGGTCGTGGGTTCGAATCCCACTTGGGTATGGTTGTTTATTTGTGTTTGTCCATTGTGTATAGTCCTTCGGAGGGGACTTTAAGCCGTCGGTCCGTTCCTACCCCTAACCCGCACAAGCCATTCAGTTGGCTTATGGGACATCTTAGTTTGGATGTAAGGGTGGAACTAAAAGAGCACTTTATAACTTTAATTAGTTAATTTTGACTAATTCATTTTAAGAGAGTAGCGAATTAAGGAAAAATTAGGATAATCGTAAAAGTAAAGGATTTAGAGACAAGAGCGCAATAAATATTGAAATTATAAAAAGAAGGAATAAACTAATATATCGCGACACCACTGTAATAAATCTTAAAAATCCTTTTTGTGGTTTAACGCTGTATTACACGTAAATTAATATTAAATTAAGGATTACCTTATTATACAATGTTTGATATAATATACATTAGGGTGGTCGTTAAAAAATAATTTTTTTGCGACGCCCCCTAAAAAGCTTCTTTTTGATGAAAAAACACTGGGAATTTTTTTTTATTAAAAACAACACTTGCCTTAAGACGATCTAAGTCAATTTTATGGTATAATCATGTTTTTTTGGGAATTTTTTTATGAAAAATAAAATTTTATTTAAAATATAAAGAATTATAGAACCCAAATCAATAAAAAAAATAATAGTTAATCGAAATAACAATAGACAAATATTTAAATTCAAAATTTTTCCCAGTTGATTTGGTCTATTAAACAAAAAAATTAAAGATATTCAAATTGATATTTTTATTTTAAAACTAAATTAGTACAAACGTAATTTCAATATCTAGATTTCTTCACTCCAAGGTGAAGTTATTTCATTATTAATAATTTTTAAATCTCAAAAAAATTATTATTCCATATTTTCAGAAAAGACATGATTATACCAAAAAATTTACTTAGATCGTCTTGAAGCACGTGTTGTTTTCAATTTAAAAAAAAATTCCCAGTGTTTTTTCATCAAAACGAAGTTTTTTAGGGGGCGTCGCAAAAAATTTAATTTTTAACCCTAACCCCCCTGATATACATGCATTTTATAAGTGGCATGCCATATCTAAATGTGTCAATTGATAAAATCCCAAAACACCAAAAGTCATGTTTTAAGAAAAAAAACTAGCTTAAAAATGTTAAGTGGTTTACTTGCTGTCAGTACATACGTTAATGTTGCATTTGTTTCGATCCTCCGATAGCATTCCTTCCTTAAGAATATATTTGACAATTTTGATGCAAAAATAATCTATAATAAATTACCTACAATTTTTTTATAAAAATAGTTTTGTGATTTGTACCGTCCGTATGCTTGAAATCGCCGTCCTTTCAACTTTTTTCTCTAGGAAGTTTTGTCAAATCCTAGGCCCTAACTTAACTCCTTCTGGCGTTTTTTTCCATGTGGATACAAACCACTAAGGTCTGGTTTTAAAGAGTATTTGTAATGTGTTGGGTCCGGATAATTTATAAGTTATTGCAATGTACAAATTTTCCCATATGGTATCTTTAATATTAAGTTTATAATTTGTTTAAATCCGCTCAAAATCATGTACCACCCGATATTTTAGATTTACAAACAACAAAAAATCTTACATGAAAATTAGGTATTAAAAAACAATACCTACCGCAAAGAATATCATAAAAATCAAGCTGTGAAGCTTGAATGAAGCTTTTCTTGGACAAAATTAGCAGCAAAGTTTTTATTTTGGGGCTTTTTTCGGGCCAATGATTTCTGTCAATTCGTCTAACAGATTATGTCAGTCAATTTGTGCGGTAATCATAGAAGTTAAATGAGGTTGAGGCATTGTCGGCAAAGCGGGATTAGCTGGCGTAAAAGAAAAAGTCCGCTCCCGCTTGTACAAAAACAAAACTATCCCGCTGGGGTTGTGTTTAATCGCGACACTAAAGCTATTGTCGCACGCATCGGGCTTCCCGAATTAGCCTCGCTTATTATAACAACATTTCCGTAATACAAACTATATGAGTGTTGTGCCTTTTTAAGACCCCCCTAACTAATTACGCACGTCAGTTTATTAACAAAATTGAATTAAAAAATTTCATTTTCTTAAGTTATAAAAGTATTATAATACTTTGATTTTAGAATTTCTTAATTAGGTTTTAATATAATTATTTCCCAATAGATTTTGATTGTGAATATTATATATATAAATATACATTACCAATATATATCCACTGGACAATCAGGCAATTTTGGACGCTTTATAAACTATAGTTTTTTGTAAAATATATTGGTAATATTGACAATGACCACGTCGCATTGATTAAAATAAGCAAAATGATCTTATTATAGAAAAACATATTACTAAAAGAACCAGCTTCTTCTTTAATGTCCTTACAAACAAACAGTATTTTGTTATGAGAACATAGATAAAATAATGAATATACTGTTCCAGACAGGGCCAGTCACTTTTTTAAACAGATTCTGAAATATCTGTGTTTTCTAAATTTAAATGCAAGGGAAGTGACGAGTATACCAGGGTACTAATTAAATACATAATTTATTGGAAAATATAAGATTTATTGCAACTTTGAGCATATTATACATTAAATATCTTAAAATCAAATAATACCACACATCAGTGGCGGCTGGTGGATTTTGGGTATACTGATATCTAAATTATTAAATATGGGACCCACACCAAATTTATATGAGTTTATAATGACATTAAATAAACAAGTTCTGCTCAAGCAGAATTTAAATTGAAGTTTGCGAAAAAAAATATAACCGAAACATCGAACATGGAACTGACGACACGGTACTGATGAATGGGATACAAATTTGAGATTATAATTCGGAATTGTATTTTACTGGTATTTTTTATTAGTGGATGCTACTTATCAACAAATAACATATAGCCTTATATAAATTAAAATGTAATAAATATACGTAAGAAAATAACTACTCACCACAGTACTGATATTTCGACTGGAACTACACGTGCATTCGCCACAACTTCGCCGCTTGCATTGTTTTCAAGATGACTGTCGTGCAAAGGGCGGGCTCAGTAGGTAATTTTTTTACCAACGCTTAAGTTAAAACGAGGAGTTGACGTTTAAACGCAAGAATTTTTAATTTTAACATTGGACACAGAACTGACGGGTAAAAGTGAGTACAAAGATTATCAATTTTTTAAAAGTTGCTATTTTTCGAATCTATGATGAAATATGAAAAATAAATTATAATTTATTTTTCATATTTCATCATAATTATTTAATGTTTTATAGTTTGTAGTGAAATTGAAAAATTTAAGATAAATTGATATTTTAAAATAAAATCACTCAAATATTTGATTCAGGAGTTGTGACACGCCAAGGTACTGATGTTTTGAATATTTATTATGTTTTTCTACAAACGTGCTTTTGAAAAAATACATTAAAATTGGGTGGACAAGTTAAAAAAACCTGGATCTTTTGTAATATACTAAAATATTTACAAAAAATATTAAAATACCTACTCTATTCACTGATGACATCAAGTTGCCCAACTTTTGTAGAATCACCCATATATAGTTTAATTATGGGCGACCTTTACGATCAAAAATTGTGTACTACTCATTGCAGGAGGTCTGGGCAGTATACTGTGTATACATTGCGCGGAAAAGGGTAAGGAGAGTTCCTTTTATACTTGATGCATACAAAGCGATAGGTACCAACTGGGAAGAACAAAATTTATTTTGTCATTTAATTACGTTTGATTTAAAAATCAGCCAACTTTCTAACTGATTTTATTGCTATTGACAGTGTCAGTGAGAGTTCTATATGCAATGTTATTTAACATCTAAAAACGAGTTGTAAAAAGAAATGAAGTCCGCTACAAAAAAAATTATCAAAAACAAGGTATGGGAATTATTATTAAAAAATAACTTACCTATAATAAATAAATAAATCAAACCAAATATCACTAGAATCTCACTAGAAACTCACTAGAATCTCACTAGAATATCACGAGAATGACAGATTAATAATTTTAATTGGACACAGTC